TCTATGGGATGATGCGGCAATCTTAATTGCAATCACCAACCAACTCCCAAGTCAAATAACGCAAAAACAGTTGGATTATACATGGGTATGATATACTTTTTGTGGATCATGGCTTGGTTGTTCTGAAAGTTTGGATATCACGGCAAGTTTGCCGCAGGTTGTTATGTTTACCATGCCACGATGGTACAGTACATTACTCAAACAAAAATGGTATCTGTTGACTTTATGTACTGTACTTATGAGTCGTCAGGATAACGTCATTAGTAGTTGCACTTCCTCGATCCCGCACGATAAGTAATTGACACGAAGTGTCCACGAACCCGACGTCATTGTGCTTGGGATTTTGCAAAGAATGGAATATTCCATGATCCAGTGCCCCCACTGGAATTTTCAAGCAAATAAATTGCCAGTCACAGATTCTGACTGGACAAACCTTTTCACACTCACAAGCATTCAATATCAAAGAGCTGCACGTCATGTATAGAAGGTTAGAGACAAACGAAGCCATCCCATCGCTTCACAATCCCACATGATGTACATACATCGCATAATGGAGGTATTCACCGACGATAACGGGTTTTGCACTCATAGGACACTGGGCGTACGTGTTCAAGGAGTGAAGTTGGCTAATGTGAAATTTGCTGATTGGAAAACCTTGCGGCGACTTGAACATACCAATAGAATTATTTGATAATTTCATTGCAATATTTCCATTTGTAAAATCATTCTATCATAATACAAGAATAAATACTACTTCAGGCGCAGTTGCAAGTAGTTTTAAAAACTAGCATGAGCCTATCAAAATCGATTTACCTCTTTTGTCACGATTTAGAAGACGACGTCAAGGACCTCGTGTTCTACTTTTGGTATAGTGAGGTGCGTAAAAAATATCTCACTAAACGAGGTAATACTTGGGACAACTCTTTCATTTGCTCAAAATATCTACGTACGTGGAGGTCCTAATGTTAGTATGAATTTGGTTAAAATATCCCAATTCTGTGCGAAAAACCGATCATTAATCTCACCATGAAATTTAATTGGCTTTCCCCATTCTGCAAAACCCACAAGTAAAAAGAAGTAAAAAGAAAAACAAAGTAGCCAATTGGGCAAAAGAAATTTCAGAGTGACCAATGGGAGCGAATTTGGGGGTCCGGAAATTCGTATTGGTCATTCGTTTTCAAAATGGACTGGGGGTTGCCAATCGAATCGACCAAGTAAAATCGATGCAGTAATCGACGGACCGAAGTAGCCAATGAAATTTACTAAAAAAGTAATTTCGACCAATCAAGTTGCAGGTGTATCCGCATTGCTTCTCCATTTCACGAAAATTCAACATTGTATCTGGCAGGATTCACAGTGAGCATAATTAGTTCAAGTAAAACGGTGTCTCGACGATTTCAGGTAGTTTTAACGCCGTTGTTCGTCGAAATTACCGAAAATACCAAATTTAGCTTGAAAGCACAATAATGCATCCATCCATATACACTACATATCGTCCAGAACGCTATAAGGACTGCATCAGTCGAAGTACTAGTAGTTGATTGGAACTCTCGAAGCATGATGAAAATGTTGATCACGTCATAGTTGCCATGCATAATACTCGAAGTATGAAGTATGAGCCTGCACTTCACAGCCATTTTTCGTCAAAACAGCGAACCAAATCCTTCGTCACAACTTGATAATGTTTCGACAATACTAGTTAATTACCTGTGCGATTAAAAGACGGCAACACAAGTAATCGAGCCCCCAATAAAGTTACAGTAGCCAACAGTAAAATTAACTCGACGTTCATCACGAAGAAGGTAACCACTCTAATGTGTAGATCACACACAACGCTTTGACTATGAAGTCGAACTTGCAAAACCCAACTACAATATAAACATACTTGAGGATAGGTATGTTGGGGCACCTTTGTAATCCACTGCAATGCGTCAGAGGTAGTTGTGGACAACGAGGGCTGCAAGGTTGTGCTAGAATGCCTCCTTGTTATGGGAACTATCGCACCTCCATAGTTATCTTGGTCATTTGGACTTCCTAGCAGACTCCCAGTCCCGCTCGAGCCAATCCAAATCCACCGCATTGTTTTACATACGATATATATATATATAGTATGAATTACCCCTTCGTGCATTCCTGTAAATACGCGACTCAACTCGTTGAAACAAATTGGGACAATCACACATTTAAAATATCCTCCACGGAAATAAAATACCTTACACATTTAGAATATCCCGACGGAAATAAAATACTCCACCCCGAAACCCTTGAAGATCGACACCTGCCAGTTTCAGTGCACATCCCCCAGGAGGCCACAGGCACGAATTGGTCCGACGATCGATGGCAACGCGACGTTTTGCAACAGACCTATTTAGTCGACATGGAATCGACCCGAGTTATGATGAAATCGGAAAAAAACTCGCTTCAGGGGCTGCCGCAGTTGGGGATATCGGGGGGTTGGTTCTTCTTTTGACGGCAAACGCACCGCAATCAGTCACGTTATCACAGAAAATGCCGTACCGGACTCGAGTTTGGTTTGTCGTCAAGTGCATTAACGTAAGGTCGAACCGTCCACTTGACCCAACTTACGAAGGTACTAACTGTAAGGATGCGTCTGGAAACGTGAAACAGTTTAATATTCTGGCCCAAAACGCCATTTGGGGGGCGAATTCAATAATAAACTGATAAGGGCTGGTCTGGATACCATCGAATAAAATTATGTCACAAACCGTTTTGGCAAGTCTGCAAGCGATTCCCAAAGTATCATATCCCATGAAAAAAATGAAGAAACGAAGTATCTATAAAGTTGTATGGATGCCCGGTAAAATTTGTAAAAATTATTCGATTTCCGATAGAAGTGGAAGACTTCAGCGTGTACACAAACCTCCATAAACGACCCGATTCTCAAGAAAATTGGTGTATAAATTCTTGAACTTCAGAGAATGCGATAAAATATTTGCGAAGTATTTTGTTGTGACCACTGGATGCCATAATGGAATGAGAATTACCTCTCGAATATCACGTACGTGAAAATTGGACAGTTGAAGTTGGAACTATTTTGTGTTGACAGAAAATTGTAAATAGTAGACGTATTATTTCAATCTATGTGTCAGATTTGATAGGCAAGCACACAAAAGGTGTCAATTCAAAATTTGTCAAAATACTCCTGAAAAGTTGGGAGATTCGGACTTTATGACATTTCTGTAGCAACCAGAGATGCGCATTTCCCATTTTCCCGGAAAATGACATTTAGAATGGGTCTAGATACACCCCATCTTTTGCCAAATTAATATTTCAGAAATTTGGTCTGGGCTAGTCTGCATTCCACCACATAAAATTATTTCACAAACCGTATTGGCAAGTCTGCAATTTTTTCTTAAGACCGAGTCTGGATACCACAGAAAAATCTATGTGAATTACTTCCTCCTTATCACAAAAAAGGAGCCAAATTAACTCCGATTCGGCTCAAATTGCTCACGTTTTATATTTATAGGAAACGTGTCTTGCGATAGCAACTTCTTTGTGGAAGTCCTCAAACTTAACTGCATACCATCGCGACCAACGAGGTGACAGCGCACATGGTATAATATGTTCGAGTCAGACATTTTATTGCACTTCATCTGATTATATATAACGTCAAGATAGTTTATTGCATTATTGGTTAGTCATATTGGACTAAATCACACACGTTATGACCAATTATTCAGCATATCATCTGCAGCTTCGTCGTGCAAGTCATTTCGTGAATAAAAATCCGATAATAAAATTATTTTTCTGCCTGAGCCCATACAAATATTCATACATTTAATTCATAATGTGAACATTCACCTTTTTGTGATAAGGAGGAAGTAATATTCTAACAGCGAATTCGCTTTTCACAGTCAAATGGGAGGTGAGAAAATATTTTCAATATTTTTTTGTGTGACATATTATGGCAATTATTAGATGTCAGATTTGGTAGCCAAAACACGCAAAACTTGTCGTTTGAAAAATTGTCAAAATATTTCTGAAAGATTGAAAAATACCAGCCAGAGTGGCCCTCAAGTCTCATATCCCATGAAAAAAGGTACATTGCCGTCCCCAGTCAATTTCGCTTCTCGTGACCGCTTCACAGTGAAACTCATAGTTACAGCTAAAACGGGCCCCATGTTAAAGGTGTGGCCCCGACATAAGCGCAGTTGGTTGGTGAGCCTTCATTGCAGCATATGATGATGATGCCGTTGGTTACCTGCAGGGCCGTGTATCGACGAGGCTACGTAGCCCAATCTACCGGTAAGTCTTAGGGCCAACAACTCCAATAGTACGTACAACCTTGAATACTTGCAGTTTGCATGCGGACGCTTACACCTACGAAGAAGTGCATAGTGGCTTGGGATTTCGGGGTTTATTCGCCTACAATTGAGATGACCTAACATAACCTTGAAGCGTGACGAGCTTGATTGACATGAAAAACCTTGTGACGGTGGCGAGAATAACTGGTAGCGCCCACACACATACCGGTACATGTAAAGTAGGTCTGGTGACGTTGTGGTTGTAAATCATCGGAACGGTTGTCTCTTGGACGGAACTAATAAATCAGCATTTCCCACTTTACAGCTGCGAAAAGATATGATAGGTTTTTTATGACGGAGACAACAAAGTACTACTAACGTTACGTAGTACTCGAGTACTAGTACTTCGAAGTACTAACGTTAACGTTAGTACAGTAGTCCTTCATGTTAACTTAATCGCATCCTACTATTAATACTTACAGTAATACTTCGAAGTACTATAAATAGTATAACGTTACTGTCAGTATCAATATTAGTCCTTGCACTAACAGTTTACAGTATAATAGTACCGTGTTACTTGAAGTACTTGGATAGCTATTATTAATACTAATAGTACTTCTAGTACTATTAGTATTACTACTAGTACTACTAGTAGTATCAATTTTTCAATGCAAATAAAATAGTGTTAAGGGTAACACTATACTGGTACAACCTTACACTATTTTATGTAAATAAGAATGCGTGGAGTACTGCGCCGCGCCGCCTTCGGCCTTGGACCCATCCGCCAGCTCTCAACATCACGTCGTGTGATTCACGGGGAAGGTGAGATGGAACGATTAGGTGCCGCGCTTGCCGCACAGATCCCATCCACTCAGTCGGGCAATGTCCTTTTGCTACATGGAGACCTCGGGAGTGGTAAGACGTGCTTGGCGCGCGGGCTCGCACGGACATGGTGCTGCGACCCCTCCATGGATGTCACGTCCCCAACGTACCTTCTCATCAACACCTACGATCCCCCGGAAGCTTCCACGTGCGATCTCCCCACCTATCTCTGTGATTATGCGTCAACCTCATATACTTGTGCTTCCTCCATGTGTGTAGGCGGCACACGCTGCACCACATGGATTTATACCGACTCGACAGCGTGACGTCCACAGACGTCGAGGCGCTTGGGCTCGAAGATACTTTTACTACTGGTACGATCACACTGATCATGATTTCAAGGTCTGACGAATACATGTAGGGACAAGCATCGTGGAATGGCCAGATCGGTTGCAAGTGTTGCCGACGCCGAGGTTGGACGTCCATATCAAGTACACGGACGTTGAAGGCGAGCGACAAGTGCATGTGGTAGCCCATGGTGCGAAATGGGAGCCTGTGGAAGCCTGGTTTCGGGAGATTTCATCCTTAACTTAATTAGTCGGAGCTTGATATGTGTTCTTATCGTTCCACTTGTCAATCATCTCGTTGATGTACATCACGATGGCCGGGTCTGGGTCGATGAACAGGTGGTGGTCGTCCAGGTCTTGGATGATGAACTTTTTCTACGACCCATCCCATCAGACGGCAAAAAGGGCGGCAGACTAAGCCATGACGATGTACCTTGCCAGGGGTGAGGTTCAAGTGACGTAGGTACTGCTTCGTGGGGGGATCACTACACCATGCACACGAAGATTGGATGACATCGGTGGAATGCCCTTCGTAGACCTACCAGGTCACCAAGACTCCTTGGATGGACTCCCTGCCGTGCGATGCCATGTTCGAAAATAATCGAGCGCAATAAAATCCCTGGAGGAATTATTTACACTATTTAAATAAAACGCGATAGGTTTGACAATGAATTTGTATCGACCCTGAAAAACCAATTAATTTAAATACGACGTTAAACGACGACGGTGAAGCCGAAAGGTTGGGCATTCTTCTGGTTATTTTATCGGCTGAAATGGACTTCAGTTTATGTTCATTTTCTTCGATTTCCACTCGGTACAGTTTAAGGTGCACTCAAATTGGCCAATGGAATAGCTTGAGTTTTGGAATAGCCAATCCAATCACTAGAAAAATGAAATCACCAAAAAATAAGCTCAACCCGCATACATATTTTAAGCTTAAACCGTGCACCATAAACCGTCCCTCCTATTTTGCGCACCATAAACTGGTCATCGATGTGCAAGTCACCTAGACTACAAATAAATGCCTTGACTTTCGACAGCTATTCCAACTTTGTATTGATATTATTTAGGAAAATTTACCGTAATAACGATAGAACTGGACAAGCAGCCTTTAGATGACTTGCACCATACGTTATAATATTAATCGTTATTAATACTATAATAACGTTAACCTGTTCTTCGAAGTAATTCACAGGCAGTGTTGTCAAGTCGGTCGGTAATTGGAGTCGCCAGTAGAATCGAATAGACTTGGCAAATCGATTTGAGAATGAACTAGCCAATCAAAATCCATTATAACCCCCTCTTTACAAGATTTCTGAATGGTTCAGCCAATCAATACGTTTTCTAATAAAAACAGTTGCAGATTGAACTCACTGTACTATAGTGAATACAAGATATGTTGTCAAGTTCATTCAAAAACGGTTTCACTTTTCGACTGAACAGTCCAAATTTGCGTGAGGAAAATACAGTACCTTCTATACGTACAGTATATCGCGTTGGTGATGTGAAATTGAATGCCCTTCACCACAAGCCGGACATAACTAACTGTTAACGTTGTTTTTATTCTACAGGTCTCAATCAATATTAATTGATGGCCCGTAGAAGCTGTATTGAACCTTGCTCTGAGGAGTACAGTTTGAATTGTGGAGTTTATTCTATACGTATAAACTGGAGCGACATGGAGAATGAATCGATCGACACATCCAAATGTACACAAGATTTCTTTAGCCAATCAGATTCAAGACACCAGCATCAACATGCAATTGGTGTCTGCCTTATCATTACAGATCACTACTCCGAGTATACGTCAACCTTTTTACATCCAATGTTCCGTTGATAGATAGATCGATTTTTGGCGAATCAGCTATCATTTCACAAGTCCACCATTTCGGCTGAAGGCCGAAGTCAACAGCAGAATGGTATTTACTATACTGAGAAACCCTACAACGACGATAATATAATACTGAGTATTGTGAATTCGCTATAAATTTCCAAAATTCGCCTGGTTTGTCAAATCAATATATTGAATAATCACGCCAGAGTTCTGATTGGTTGAATATACTTGTCCTTTCTGCAAGAGCCAATCAAATAATCCACTCAAACATGGAATAGCCAATAGCGTCGATTCGTGAATCGATTCGGCGGCGAGATTATTCGATTTGACGGGGTCTGGACGAATTCACAATAGTACATTGATACTCCAACTACTACAGTACTACTAGTACTACTACTGTAGTACAACCGCTACCGTCGTCTCCACCATGCAGGTGCACACCCAAAGCACGACGCTGTGATCGCTTGATCTTGTCGCGCTTGCAAGCGTCGATTTGTGACACTGTTTTCGACACAATACGCGTCATATCGTTCAAAGCATTCGTCGTACAGTGCATGTTGGTCTGTCATGGCCAGCAGCTGGAGGCGTTGTTCGTGAAGGTACCGGGAGGGCGGTGTCCGGAAAACAAAACGGACGTTATGGGCACATCGACGTTGTTTCGATTTGTTCGCACACGGCCGGCAATACTGGAACGTTGCAGGGACACAGTGCGGGCACGTGGCCACGTCCCCCACGATTTCGGACGCACATCCATGGCAGAATTCGTTTCGCCATGTCTCAGATACACACCCAAGACCAACCAAATGGCCCTCAAATGCGTTGATGTTGGTCAGACTTTCGAACCGGAGATGATCCACTTGATAGTTAAACCACTGGTACAACGACTTGTGGGCCAACATGAGACTGCTGCTGCTACTGTTATTGGCGGTATTGCTGGAGGTGGTGCTGGTACTTATGCCACGTAGGTCAGAACTGGCACGGGCTTTTCGGGTTAAAAACGCTTGTTCTAAGCACTCGGACGCTTCTTTTGCCCGTTGGTTGCGGTATACCATCCCCAAAGTCGACAGACCTGTGAAACAACATGAATATTTATTGACCCAAAACTCGATATACGATTGTGGAGTGAACACAAATATGTATCTCGTTGTCACATACTGCCAAGAACTAGTATAAGTAGGAGTACTAATAGTAGGGGTAGTAGTACTGATAGTAGGAGTAGTAGGAGGAGCAATAAGTAGGAGTGGAAGAAGGTGGAGTACCCAGGATGGCCAAATCACTCGAGTCGCCATACAATTCCTTGGCTCGATCCCACATGGACAGTACGAGCCATTCCGCGTGCATGTACTCGCCTACATATTAATCAAATCACGTTGATGTTAATAATTATATGGACAATGTATGCATATCATCAAAGCATGGAAATTCATATATATTGTCCACTCGATCCAATGTACGACCCAACACTAACTAGTACACAACAACCAAAGGTAATAATATATATTAGTAACTCTTACTATGCATATATACTGCAGCATATATTCCCAATTCTGCACGATTTGCTCAAACAAACAATCCGAAATTCTATTCGTATTTATTTCCAAGTCCACAGACGTAAAAAAATGGAAAAAATAATGTAGCCAATCAGCGACAAGACACATTTCAGTAGGACCAATCATGATGGGGGCGATTCACGACCCGACATAATATCTTTCCAACTCAAAACAAACCCCAATATATCACCACACCATGACCAGCAATATCCACATCGAATAAGACTACTACCGGGAACGTTACCACAAATATATATATATATAGATACAAGAAATATACAAGATAGTATAAAGTATAGGTATAACAACTGTAGATCAAAACAATAGGATTGGTCAAGTAACGTACAGTACCTAAGCATCGGTGCACTTCGGCGACGTTAGCCATGCTCATGAGGGTCCTGTCGTCGTCCAATCCAAACGTCAAAATGTCCTGCTCAAGGCATTCGGTCAAGAGCGGCCGCGCTTTGTTGTACTGGCCCTGACACATAAATACGGCCGCCAGGTTGTTTGCGCATGTAAGTCGAGCTATCACATCCTCATGGTGGTGCTGGTCATTGTCGTAATGAAGTAGACACGTCGAGTAGATGGCGGCGGCATGTTTATATCGGCGCAGCGCAAACGATTGGCTCGCGAGTAGCTCCATGACGTGGAGTGTGGATAGATGATGATTGGGATAAGGTTGATGTTGTTGATGCAAGCACTCGAGGCGGAGGTGCATAGCCTTATCGAGAACGTGCCATGCTAAACTTGGTTGGCTGTGGGAAGCGTACACGTACCCAAGTGCGACCATCGTGTCGATAGTGTCCATGTCTTGGTCACCAAATATCAATCGCTGCGACTCTAAAATCGATTGCAGCTTTGATGTGGCACAAGACGTGTGTGCGTTCTGGAGATCGTCATTTCGTAGCAACAATGTAGTGATGGCATCCTGGGCAAGAGCCAGTTGCCGACATGCAGAAAAGTACTCGCGGCTCGTGGGAGGAAACGAAGAGGTGGCACGCTCGTAGTACGTCTTGGCCAACTCGATAAAGTCGGCGGATTTGTGAAGGACCAACCCAAACGCGTACGAAGCATGGGCTTGGTCGAGTGACGTCGGGAGCGTTTGAATTTCGCGGTCGATGGCGGCGTGGAGGCTGCGAAGAAGGAAGGCACGGGCGGCGGCGGTCAAAGGAGATGATGCACTAGACACGGCGTCGAAGGGAAGCCCTGTGATGGCAGCTGTGGAGGTGGCATACGCATCTAAAAGAGGCGTCCTTGAAAGAAGTGCAGTGTCATCGAGTATTTCTTTGCGCGGGACTACGAGTGCCGTGACGTCGACGTGGATCGAGTTGGTGGCGGCGACGGCCAAGGCAGCGGCACTCCACTCGCACGAGAGTAGAGTAGACGGGTCCTCTTGGGGCCAAAGAACGAGCATATTGGGCACCACTGGGACGATTTGGCTGATGTACGACGATACCGTGTCGGCCGAAGCTGGTGGTAAAAGGTGCAACGGCTGGTTAAACACGCGCAGCCAAAACGACCGAGGTGTGTCCAACGATGAGCGCCACGATTCGAGGGTATCCACTACGGCCAGAAACAGGTCATTCCATCCATGATACACGCACCACTCGGCAGCTCGGAAGGATGTAGCCGTCGAGGACTCGTTGGCGTCGTCGTTGCCGCGCGACGGGTTGGACAGGGTAGGTGCGACGAACTGTGTCCACACGTCGGATGTTGACAGCCCTTGGAGCTTGGATCGTCCTCCCACATCGTCTATGAACTGACGGATGTACTCCAGGGTCACACCCCGCGGCTTCGGTGGCATCGTCGATGACACCATCGTAACCAAATGACAACCCAGCGACAAAAGCGATAGAAATACGGATACCTGACATCCGGATACGGTTGAAACAGAAGCATTTCTTGTTTGCGATGTTTGCGAAATACTTGCCCGACTTAAGAATTTCGAGTAACTTCAACATCTCACAGGCCTTGAAGTTCGTGGTATTGAATTGGGACATTAACGTGTCGTAAGTGCGCTTCGCAAATTGAGATACGACGTTCACAGGGATTCTCAAAAAAATCTATTTAAAAAATATGTTTTATTCTAAAAGAAAATAGATTATTTTACGCCGCCACCAAAATAGGTAGTTACGTCTGGTAATATTTCAAAATTAATATTTCATTTTCTCGCAAAAAGAGATTAACTAAAATTCCATTTTGAAAATGGAGGTAAAAGGTCCACTTTGTTTGGACCTCTTCAACGAGTAAATCCCACGTGGAATTGTTGGACTTGGGTTAAAACTCTTCAAGCAATAAATGTTTCAATTATGATCAGATTTGTAGAATTTGGCCCCAAAATGGCGTTTTGGGCCTGAATATTGTAATACTACGTAGTATTTCATGTTGCCAGACAGGCCCTTAAGGGTGCGTCTGGTAACCCCAAAACACCATTTTGGGGCCAAATTCTACAAATCTGATCATAATTGAAACATTTATTGCTTGAAGAGTTTTAACCCAAGTCCAACAATTCCACGTGGGATTTACTCGTTGAAGAGGTCCAAACAAAGTGGACCTTTTACCTCCATTTTCAAAATGGAATTTTAGTTAATCTCTTTTTGCGAGAAAATGAAATATTAATTTTGAAATATTACCAGACGTAACTACCTATTTTGGTGGCGGCGTAAAATAATCTATTTTCTTTTAGAATAAAACATATTTTTTAAATAGATTTTTTTGAGAATCCCTGTGAACGTCGTATCTCAATTTGCGAAGCGCACTTACGACACGTTAATGTCCCAATTCAATACCACGAA